GCGGTGGCCGCTGAACTGGGGTTGTTGCTAAGCCGGCTCTCTTAAATATTCTTCGAATACTACCATCAAAAAGATATGGTACTTATGCTTCTAAAGACTCAGAAAAGCAAATTGTGAACCCATCACCATAACGTTTCAGCCCCATGAAAGAAACATAATTAACTATGACAATATCAACACAGTGAACCAGTTCTAGATAATCTCTTCCTTCTCTACCCGCACAAACGCTATCTCTAATTATGTCATTACATAATTAAAAATATCCCAAATAAATCACCGGGCTATGACCTAATCTTTGCTGAAGTCACTGGTCTCTAAAAAGCTATCGTTACCTCACTCATAACAATGTATACCAGACCGCAGTCATTGTCGGGGAGCTAGAGGACTAAGCCCCCAGGACTTAAAGTACAGGTCTTAGCCCCCCCTGGCCACCACAATTTTAATGTGACTAAATATACAATAATTATTCTAATTGAAAAATTTATTTTTAATATATGAATCACAAAATAAATTGTACAAAAAATATTCTATGACAAAAATTCAATTTTACAAACTTGTCATAACATGGAACCATCATAATAATTATACTTTGTAATATACTATTATTAATAATACGTAATAATACTCGTATTGGTTGTTTATCAGCAGTTGTCCCGGTACTATGAAATTCCGTAATAATATTCTATTTTTAACTAATTATGAAGTTAATCGATAGTTGCCATAATTGACGAATTCTAGTATTTTTGTTTTTCGCCACTTATTACATTCAGTATTTGTTATTTGAGTGGTTAACGGCTAACGAGTTTAATTATTTAATTTTTATTGACCATTATGTCTAAGAAATTATTTGCGATCTTTAATGTGAATAAACCGTCTATTGTGGCCCCGGTTTGTACTAATGTCACAGACGATACTGACCCAGACGACTCTTTAAGTAGTCTAGGAAGTATAACTACAGTTGAATCTACAAAAGTAAAATGTGTCGATTTGGTACCTAAGACTTGTGATCTAGGAACTTTACTGACTGGTCCATCTCGTCCGGTACTTGAGGCAAGTATAAAACCAAATTATTTTAAATGGTTTGTAGTTTATTGTACATTTATAACTATAATTTATGTACTTTGTACCTACTATAGTCGTATCCAAAAACTGTTTTTGGGAAACAAAACCGTGGTTTTAATTCCGTTTATTATTCAAGCTTTAATTGGCTAAAATATAGTATTAAACGTGATGCTATTTACTGTTTTTGCTGTCGCAATTTTAGCATAGCAAGTGATAATAATGATTTTACGTTTACGAGTATTGGATTCAACAACTGGAAAAAAGCAAGTACCTATTTGTTTAATTATATTTTAACTATTTTTATTATATTTAAAAATGTTTATTGTATTTATATAGTTATCCGGTCAAGAGGAAAAAAAGGAAATAGACAGAGTAAATTGCATGGACATTCGACTAGTAAACAGCATTTAACTTGCATGGCCAAATGGGAAGCTTATATTTCTACTACAATAACAGGAAGTGTCCACTCTCAAGTAGCATCAAGCCACAAGCTTCTCGTAGAAAAAAATGCCCAATATGTTAAAACTCTTGTTGATATAACATTATTTTTGAGCTGCCAAGGATTAGCGTTTAGAGGACATGAAGAATCAAGGCTCTCACTAAATCAAGGTAACTAACTAAAATAATTAAACATATATTACAATTTAAATTTTTTCCCTGCTAAAAGATTATCTAATAGATATATAAAACATTATGTTTTATAATATATAACATTTAAAATACCAGATACATTTTTCACTACCTATAGACATAATATATTCTTGTTACAGGAAATTTTAAAGAAATTTGCAATTTAATTGCAAAACACTATCCAGAATTTGCAGAAAAGTTTCAAAATACTACCAATTACACTAGTCATACTGTGCAAGATGAGTTGGCTAATTTATGTGCTGAGAACATAAGACATAAAATTACAAAAGAAATTGAAGACACTAAAGTTTTTGGTATAATGTGTGATGAAGCTAGGTAAGAATCTAACTTTTAAATGACAAGTATACAAAATTAAATTTAGTAAAGGTTTAAAAATTATTTTGATTATAACCAAAGACCCAATGAGAGAAGTACTTTCACCACCTACCAACTGGATTTTTTAATTTTTATTTTAGGTGTTTTAAGCAAGAAAAAATGTCTTTATGTGTAAGGTATACTGTTGGCCTTAATATTGTAGAACGATTTCTGGGATTTATTGACGTTTCTGACAAACAAGATGCTGAATCCTTAAGTGTCCATATATTTGCTTACCTTACTAAAAATAACATGGACACGTTTCATATTGTGGCACAATCCTACGATGGGGCAAATGTTATGTCTGGAAAGTTCAATGGTGTTCAGGTTAAAATTAAAAATAAATTTCCATATGCCATTTATACGCATTGTATGGCCCATCGTATAAATCTTGTAGTAATCGACATGTGCAAATATGTTAAGGTAAATTGTAATTTGTTGAAAGTGTATGTTTTAGCTGTTTTAAATATATATTTTTTTTTTTGTATAGGAAACTAGGACTGTTTTCAATACCATTGAAGGGTTATATATCCAGGACTGTTTTCAATACCATTGAAGGGTTATATATCCGTTTTTCTCATCCAACTAAAAACCAAATGCTTGTTGACATGCAAAAAAAGTTGGGAATAAAAAGTATCCACATTGGTTGCTTAAGTGATACTAGATGGAACTGTCGGTTTAAAAACTGTGAAGCAATATTACATAATTATAAAGCTATTATAAATGTTTTACAGCAAGAAATAGACAATCAAACTGATAGAAATGCAAATGAAGCTTTAGGTAAATTGTGTGAAACATTTAAAATAATTGGATTTTAATATTTAACCCTTCAATGCGTTGTGTTGCATCAGTGCAACAATCTTTAATATTATTATTCTAGCTTAATTATTTGTACTTTATGGACATAACGACATCTAGTAGCCATTTCATAAACTATATTAAACGATGAAACAATCGAAACGATTTCGATATTAAATGCAGTTGATATACAATCGTTCAAAATCGCAGCTGTTCTACAAATTGATAAGCTGTATCACTGATGTTTTGACATTTCTTTTATTGGTCAAAAATAAATATATATTATTGTTATAAAATAGTTCATGTGTTATTAGGTATGTAATGCTTTAATTTGGAGTATAATTAGTACCATAGAGCAAGTCTTCAATTAGCTACAGGTATAAAATAGTTTGTTGCTCTTATGCAACATCGCGCACAAATGGTACAAATATTTATCTGCTATGTATTTTAGAATCATGAACGAATTTATCGACGACGTAGAAATTGCACGTCTAGTTGCTAATTGGGACGTAAGTGACGACGATTTAGATTTTTCTGACGAAGATGATATGTTTTATGAATCAAGTTCGCAACCGAAAAATGATTTGTTGGTAAATGAATACTTGGATATTGATAATTTACCCATTTTATATGAAAATGAAGGGGAGTATGTAATTATTCCACAAGGCGCTTCTGTTGCAAATGCTTTACCTGATGAAACCCAGTCAAATTTACCATCGTCTATACCTGATTTGCCTTTAGATACACTCACTGAATTAGCTGAAAAAAATAAATCATTTACAATACCCACTGTTCAAAAATCCATATCCAATCGTATTATAAAACCAAATTTCTTACGTTCTTCTGTTGGCTTATATAATAATAATACTAAAAGTGCTTTTCCCAAAATTTTAAAAAAAACACAAGAATTTTTGAACTTAAAATGGAAAGAAGGGAATTTAGTAACTTGTCCATCACTTCTCAGTCACAATGAAAAAAAATTAAATAATAATATCACCGAAATGACTACACCATATCAGTTTTTTTCTTATTTTTTTGATGAAAATATACTAACAAAAATAAAACACGAAAGTGAACTTTATGCTTCACAAATTAATATAAACAGTTCATATTCCGTGTCAACAAATGAGCTCAAAAGATATTTGGGTATTTGCATTTACAATTCTTTATGTATAATTCCAAATATCAGAGACTACTGGAGTGACCATTTGGGAATACCTCATGTATATAACTCACTTAGTCAAAAGAGATTTGAAGAAATAAGACGATATTTTCATTTTAATGATAATACCTTAATGTTATCTAGAAATGACCCAAATTATGATAGGTTACATAAAATACGACCTATAATTGATCATTTAAATAATAAATTCAATTCTATATCGCACATTAGAGATTTATCGATTGACGAACAACTTTGCGCTACCAAAGGTAAAAGTTACTTGAAACAGTACATGCCTGCAAAACCCCACAAATGGGGTTATAAATTGTTCGTTCTCTGTGATGTCAATGGGTTTTCTTATCAGTTTGAAGTTTATAGTGGACAAGAAAACGAGCAACGTTTCCGTTTGGTAAACGAGCCTGATCTCGGTGCTTGTGGAAATATTGTTTTGAGGTTGACTCGGAATGTTGACAAAAATAAAAACCATCGTTTGTATTTCGATAATTACTATACAAGTATACCATTGATGTCGTATTTATATGGAAATGGAATTATGTCACTGGGGACTGTTAGGAAGGATCGTTTGCCTAATAATACATTACCAAATGAAAAAGTATCTAAACTTTTAAGTCGTGGTAAATCATTTGAATATATATCTACATACCAAGATGCTCCTATATCAGTAACATGGTGGAAGGACAATAAACCTGTAAATATGTTATCAACTTATTGTGGTTCACTACCAATGTTAAAAACCCAAAGATTTGATAAAAAAGCTAAAAAAAAAATTGAAGTTGATTGCCCTAATGTCATAAAAGAATATAATAGATTTATGGGAGGCGTTGATTTATTAGACAGCCTTATAGGTCGTTATAAAATACGAATGAGAACGCGTAAGTGGTTCATGCGTTTGTTTTATCATATGGTGGATATGTCAATTGTTAACTCTTGGTTACTTTACAAGAGAACAAAACTACAGCTTGGAGAACCAGTAAAATATACATTGGTTGAATGGCGTAAGGACCTAGCTTTTACTCTCACTCGTCAAGGATTCCAAAAGTCAACCAGAGGTCGCAGATCTACATCTTTTGAGCAAAGTTTAAAAAAAATAAATAGAACAAGACCAACAGTACGTCCTACTAAAGATGTAAGATTAGACAAATGTGATCATTTTCCAAAAACCTATGGGAAAAGGGGACGTTGTAAATATCCAAACTGCTCAGGATATACAAGTTTTAAATGTACAAAGTGCCTTGTTTATTTATGTGTTACAAAAACCAAAAATTGTTTTTATGAATATCACTGTTAATTTTTAAATATTTATATTTTAATTGTTATTAAACTTTATTTGTGTAAAAGTAAATTTTTAAAAAGTGATAAAAAGCGATGTGATAAAAAAGTGTTAAGTTTATTTTATTTGTATAACAAGTTGTTTGATTTTATTTTTTGTTTTAAATTTTTATATACTGCACAAAATATTGCCAAGTATATTAAATTGTTTTTACTTATTTTAAATATTGTAGTATTTTTATTTACAAAATATTATTAAGAAAAATGTATAAAATATTTATACATTACTAATATATTATAATTACAAATTTTAGGTCCGTTAATGCGTGATGTTGCACTGGTGCAACAATCTGAAAATCGTTTGATTTTCCCAAAAATAATGACTTAAGATTTTTTATTTTATTTTATATGAATTCAGCGACTTAAAATTAGTTATCCAATGGATAAATTTTATCCAAAAAAAAAAAAAATCACGCATTGAAGGGTTAAATGTTTTTTTTTCAAGGTATACTTACAAATATGTCAACAAGCACATTTATTGTTAATTTGTTTATTTTAAAAGATATATTGTCTACAATAAATATTCTTTGTCAAATGCTACAAGAAAAAAATGCAACACTAGGCAAAGCAGCAATTCTTATCAAGGGTGTTTTGCAAACTTTTGAAAATGGTAGATCTACTCTTGCTTTTAATAATTTATGGTTACAAATCCAAGACTTTGCTAAAGACTACAACATTAATTTCAATGTACCATTTCAAACACAAAGTAAAAATTATTTAATATTTTTATAGTTAGGTGTAGTCTGTAGAAAGTAAAAATTATAAGTATTTTTGTATTTTAGGATTGAAACGAATAAGAAGAGAACCTAATAGACTTAATGATTTCGTTTTGACTACTGCTACTGGTACCGAAGAACCTAATGAAGTTGATAATGCTACTGCTGAAGATTTTTTTCGTGTAAATGCATACTTTAAAGTTTTAGATTCCATTATTGTCAATATGAAGAAACGGTTTTGTACAGAAAGTTTGGAAATGGCTGAATCTATTGATAACTTTTTTAAACTGAACATTGAAAAAAGCAAATTCTTTATTGACCACTATAAGGTATACCTATACTATAACTAATGTAATTGTTAATTGATACATTATTTAAACTTTGTATAATTGACTAACATAGTAACATCTCCTAAAATACCCTGATTTTCATACATGAATTGGCTGATAAGACACTTACTAATTTCACACTACACAACATTTTAATATTAATAATAAATAGTAACACATTATGACTTATGTATATCTTTTTATTTTCTAGGATTTATTAGATGTCAATTGTTATAATTTAAAATCCGAAATTACTGTTGTAAAAAACTACTTGACATTAAAAACTGGAAAAGATGATATCTCCTTAGAGGATTTAAAAACATTTATTATCAAGAATTTCTTTTTTTTTTTTTTTTTTTCCTGTTTTAACCGACGACGCCGCGGGATCTGCTTTCGCATTGCTTCCGCGGCGCCGCCATCGTTTATTGACGGTATCAAATGTTAATACATACATGGGAGGCAGACGGGACAGCTCCCCGACTCAACCCGTTCAAGCATTTTCAAAGTTTTGCATTAACAATTAAATTTTACATTAACAAAGGTCAATCTGAATTTTATGCATTACAAGTTTTACTGGACTTCTTTCTAACCTTCTCGGGCCGACCGGAGTCCGCCGCCCTTGAATTCGCGTGCCTGTCATCCGATTGGCGAGCTGACCGGAGTCCGCCACTCTGGATGTTTCGTTCTCCATCAGGGCGGTCGCACGTTCCCCTATGCCCTTCGCAAGGCCTCTTCCTCGCGTTCATCTTTTTCCTTGGTCGACAGAATCGTCTCGACCATGCGGATGAACTCCAGGCGATTAGTTTTGAACTGTTTGATGATTCTCCTTCGGGCTTGAGCGTTTTCTGGCAAGTCATGTGGCAGGGGACCACACAGTATTTCCTCAACGTCGCCCGCGTTCGGGGATCGCCTCATAATCTCAGTCATTCGAACGCGGTCGTCAACCCATCTCGAGCAGGTAAAAATCGTGTGCTCAACAGTGTCGTCGGGGTCGTCGCAGTATACGCAATAGCTGTCATCCGCTCGATTAAACCTCTTCAGGTAGCTCCGGAAGCACCCGTGCCCCGAAAGCACCTGCGTCAGTCGGTAAGTCAGGGTTAGCGGTGGCTTTGTTAACCAGCGCCTAACGTCAGGGAGGAGCTGGTATGTCCATCTGCCTCTTTCAGACCGGTCCCACCGAGCTTGCCAAGCTGCAATGCTGATTTTTCTTTCTTGGTTTTTAACGGTGCTCGGGACAACGTCAGTCTGGTCGTCCAGGCGAACCCGAATTCTAGCCCTTTCTGTAGCTAGCAGGTCTGCAGGTAGCATTGAGGCCCCGCCTTCGGGAGGCATGAGCATGCCACCGGGCGCGTCCCCAGGTTGCGGATAGGGGAATGTCCTACAGATATGTAGGATAGCCGCGAGATAAGCCACACCTTCGGGATGGACGAATAAGCGGTCGCGGACAAGCTCACCACCGGGGGAACGATCGACCGCCGGTGTCTCGGCAGATCAGGAGCACGAACGAAAACAAACAGACGAAGCGAGACTGACTTCGTCAGTGGGTGGCCAAGTCACTACAATCATTATGAACATTACAACCTACAATGATGAATCTCGTCCCGGAGCCCTCCTACAGGGAGGGGACTCCGGGAGACGGCGACTGGGGGTGGCTCGCCCCAGGAGTCATTATCGGCAAGCCAAATCCCGAGTGAAGGAGTGTCCAGCATGGCTCCTCCACCCGGCAATACTACTGCTGAGACGATAAGGAAAACGGAAACAACAGGAGATATGGGCAACGGATTTGACTCAGTGGCGCTGGCAACAGCTAGCAGGTTGGCGGATAAGGAGACTCCGCAAGACCGCGGACGCTCAAACAAGACTCCTAAAACGATAAATATAGGAAGTCTTAAAGAGGAAGAACTCCTATTTATGATTCAGGGGTACATCAACTCGATGTCAGAGTTTGCCGAAAGAACGCGTAACGTTCACAAAGAATTGAAGGACACCCTGAAAAACACAGGAATAGTGATGAAGCAGTATGTTAAAGTTAAAACTACGGGACGAAATACAAATGCGATAAGCAATATAAATACGCAGATGAATGATGCCTCATCGCAGACAGATATTGTCACTGAAATCAAGAAGCGGAGCAATGACGTATCCATACCGTGCGAAACGAGACGCCAAGAACCCGAGCTCCTTGGAGCGATGTCGGAACTCAAGGAGATGATTAAAACACAGAACGTAGCCATCGCCGAAATGGCGGAACACATGAGCGCCATAGGGGACATACAAAAGGAGCAACAGCTGCAGCAACAACACCTACGGCAGCAGTTACAGCAGCATCAACAACAGCAGCCAAAGTTGACGTTTCCGAAGCAGGAAACGCAGAAGAGCCCAAAAAGTCAACCGAGCCAGGAGAAGAAAGCTCAGAGCCCTGAACCAACAACCAAAAGGCAGGCCCAGAGGCAAAGGATGAAGCGGAAGCAGAAGACAAACACGGACGAGCAAGAGCCACTAGAGGAGAACCAGCTGCCTGCTCCCGACTATAAGGAAACCGGTAAGACAGACTGGCATGCGGTCAAGAAAAAAGGCACTGGGAAAAAACTGGCCAAAGTTGCACCAGATGCAATTATAATAAAAATAACTGAGGACAAGACATACGCCGACACCCTAAGAAGCCTGAAGAAAGGCCTTAACGACGCCGGGCTAACGGATGAAGTTGGAATGTCAAGGAGAACAAGGAGCGGAGATCTGTTCTTACAGTTAAAAAAGAAAACCAACAAAACCTCCCAGGTAAGAACCATTGCAGGAGACACAACAGGAGCCGAAACTTATCTCCAAACAACCACTGCCGCGGTAGAGATACGAGGCCTGGATACAGATGTAACTCCAGAAGAACTAGTCGCTGCAATATCTTCTAGAACGACGAACGCTATCAAAATAGATGACATCAAGGCTATTAAACCCGGCAACGGAGGGAAATCAATAGCAGTGGTCATTCTTCCGGCAAGAGCATGATTAGGAAAGGATGATTGACGTCACGGAAATGGCGTGATGTTTCTAATCCAATTAGGTAAAAGCATCAGTGGTCCGATTTGGTGGCGTGATATAGTTTTAGGCCACTGCACTTTAGAACTACGTTTTTATACTAAAAACGTCGGTTTTCTACACCCGTCATCACCAACGAATACGACTGCTATTTCATTTGCATTACCAGTTGGTGGATTGTATCGCCAATGGTCATTATTTGGGTCGGCGATGATGTGCATTGTCACTCTTCTCGGTCGCACCGTGGGATCAGCAGCAGCATCTTCTTGTTCCCTTTGCCATACCTGTCGCATGGTCCTGTAACAAAATAATAATACAGTTATCATCTGTACATATATATATATATATGCAAAATAAAAATAAAACCATAAGTGTGGTAGTGTTTCTTCTTCTTATTCAGAAGTCTATATTATGTATTATTATATTATATAATATGTTAGCATTGTATGTATTGTATGTATTGTATGTATTGTATGTATTATTATTGCTAGCATACAGAAATATATATATAAAGTATATGACGCTCAGTGTAATACAATACAAATAAATAAAATATGCTATAGAGGTGATGATTAGGTTTAAGTCTCGTTTGGTACAATATGAGCGGTTTAACGGTGATTAAAATTGGTCAATAATTGTATGTATATATATTAAGATGAAATAAGAATATGATAGTGCATTGGTATCATAAAATCACACATGTTAAATTGTATTCTTAAAAAAGTAGATATCTTAAAGAGTGAGCAGTGAATAAGATGCAAACTACGTACATCATCAGAATAAGAATAATTATAAATTATATGAGTATATCGCAACACAATATTCTGAAATAATAATGAATTAATTAATAATAACAACGAATTAAGTTAATTTAGGTAGCGAGTGCTATCATAAATGTGTACATGCAAGCAATAGAATATCGATTGAAATATATTAACAAAAAACTATATGATTAATTTTTTTTTTATACAACAACAAAAAAATAATTAAAAGTGTCGTACAAATATAATGAGTGATGACAATAACGAATACAACAAATCCACAGTACACTCAAGTGCCATCATTGAGTTAACTTATGTAACGATTGTTATTTTTTTATGCACATTTTATGTACATACATAAAATATTATTATTATGTGTGTGTTTTGATTTTCAATGTGATGGGGTCTGTTTATAAGTGTAATGAATGTATATTTAATGTATTATTACTGAAAAGCCACTGCAAACGGATTGATTTGCCGTAACAGACTGTCTAACTCTGTAATCAAGTTCTCCAATAATGGACGTTGGCGTGGCTGTTGTGCCATTAGAATCCCATTGGCCTCCCCGGATTCAATGAAATACAACTCACAGTTACTCGGTTGCATCATTTCATTTCTGACGACATCGTTAGAAATCCTACGATACACCTGCCCGTGAACAGTAAACACTTTTGGTCCCCGACCTGGCAAACGTCTTGGGTTGAGGTCAATGGAAAACGCAGCAAACGCCAAAGTGTTGTTGTATCGTCTGATTTCTTTTCTAAAGTGTCTGGCTACCTGTGAATCATCTATTAACAAACGAATTAATAACTCTGGAGGTTGACCCAACACGCGGTCACCCGTAATAGCCATTTGACCATTATTGCCACACATTGTAAAATGAGTCCTTCCAATCTTCTCACACCGGAAATGACGGTCATCACAGTGAGCGCAGACGGCATCCAATGGTCCTATGTCGTGCTGTTCGGGAAGTTGGTGTTGAACGCCAGCCGGACGGTCTCTAACAGGCACACGTGCTATGGGAGCACCCAGGGGAATCGGTATGAACTGTAGTTTAAACAACAAAGTCATCTATTTTTATTTAATGTGAAATATACACTGACTTCATCGTCGACGTCTGATGATAAAACGTCGAATACATCTATGAATTCATATACTGCTGCAGCGTCAGCTGGCAGCATATCTACAACCTCAATGTCCTCTAGGGCTTGTACCAACGGTTCTTCGTCTACGTCCGTCATGACATCATCGATTTGTACTTCAACAATTTCCACGTCCATGTCTTGTTCGCCGTCTGGCGCTGCAATCATCTGGTGCTGATTTTGTACTACCTGTAACATTATATGAGGTCAATTTTAATGTGTATCTGTATAAAATCATTGAAGTTTGAATTAAGAGCTATGTGTGTAAAAAAAAAAAAAAATGTAATAACAAATTAATGAATTAATGCCATATTTTCTTAACAACACATATCATGTCACGCTGAGACAGAAATGAGCTCCAGAGAGTAGTTCATACACAAACGTTTCACCCATGCTTACCAAGAGCCTCTAGGGAAACGTTCCACACACATATTCTCTCCGGTTTAGTATTTCAATACTAAGTCGAAACACTTCTAAAAAGTTTATATTTTAAAGTTATTTTATATTTAATAAATTGTTAAAGTAAATATTAATATTTCGTTATTAATACTTAAAACTCAAACCTCTACTCTTCCTATACTACGACGTTGTACTTGACATTGTGCATTCGTCGTTAAAGAAGCATTGCAGTAAACTACGTTCGAGTGACAGCGACGGTTACTACATAAAATTTGGTGTCAGGTGTGGGGTCACACTTCTTCAAACGAAAATTTTTGGCTTGCTCAAAAAAGTAGTTTGAGACCCGCCGACGAATCCACATTCACGGACAACTCGAAAGAAGGAAGGAAGAGAGTTCTGCGGAGCATATCAGCACGCAGGTCAGTCCAGAGAGGACATTATTCAAGGGCGTCCAGCAAGGACAAATCAAGTTCAAGCGTCCAGCAAGGGCAAAATGAACTCAGCATCTCAAGAAAGAAAAAGCCAGCTCAAAATGCAAAAATTGTAAGTCATTTGAATATTATTTTGTATGTCTGAGGGTATAGATAGGAATTGGCAAATCGTAGCTTACCACCCAGAATCACTTAAAATAAAAATGACTAGCACAAGTAACACTACAGACAATTTAGGTTTTGAGGGAGCATTTAAATTGGTACCTTCTTTCTCAGGAGGTACTGAATCAGAATTAGCGTCATTTGAAACTCGATGCGAATTTATTTTTAAGAATATTTCCGACAACTTAAAACCGATTATATTAGAAGCTATCTTAGCACAATTGAAAGGTAATGCATTTAAGGCAATAAGGTATAAAGAAATCACAACTTGGGATGAGTTAAAAAGACTATTTAGAACTATTTTCGGTTCTGCGCATTCGGTATCATATTTACAAGTACAGCTTAGTCAAATGAGACAAAAAGCAAAAGAAACGGTTAAAGAATTTTCCATTAGAATAGAAAAAACTGCACACGAATTAACACACGCGTTAACAATAGATAAACCACGGGTAGAAGCGAATATAATCGCACAAACAGTGCAAGCACACGCATTAAGCGTATTTATAGCAGGTATATCGCAATCTATAGGAATCATATTAAAAGCGCGTAACGTAAAAATTTTTGAAGGGGCAGTATTACACGCAATGGAGGAGAAAAAGTCAACCGATTATTTTAATAACGCGAATGGCAATAATTCTAACAAAAATAAATTTGATAAAAATAGTAATAGAGATAACAGCGCGATTAAACGGTATAGGTGAGTTGATTCCCGAGACCTTTTTCATGTATTAGTTGATTCCCAGGTCCTTAAAAGGTACGTACGAGTTGATTACCGGGTCATTAAGAGATACGTACGAGTTGATTCCCAGGTCATTATATATTTTATTCAATATTTAGTAAGATATTCAGCCTATTAGCATAACCCAAGAAACACCACGAGGAGGTTGGCTGACAAGTTTCTCAAAAATGTTGTTTTTTTAGTTTTTTTAAATTTTGAAAATCATTTAATTTTTATTTATTTATTATTTATTGAATTATATTATATTTATTATTATTAAAAACATTTAGTTATTATTAAAAACATTTGGTAGTAACTAGATAAAAAAAATAAAAAAAATAATTAATTTGGTAAAAATTTGTAGCACATTGTTTTTATAAATTGGTATCTGGTAATGAGATTACCAGTATACCGTGACATCTCTTCTCTTAAAAAAATTTGTTTTTCTTGATGTTTTTTTAGATTTTTTAGTTCCATTACTTCCGCATTTAATATAAGTTTCAGATTGTACTTCTAACAGCTCATTTATAAATAAAAAAATATTTGGGTGCCCACTATAAAAACAACTGTTGAGCTTAGAGTGAAAACTCTCACAACTATTCGTAGTTCTATTTAAAGTAGTTGAGAATTGAGCCCATATACTTGGTGGAAAACTAGCTTCTGGAGAAATATAATTGTCAAATACGTAGTCCATAAACTCTTCAATTCTTTCGTCTCCTGTTGGTCGAATTGCCATCAACTCGTCTGTAAAGCAATCAATAACTTCTATTGGCCTTAGAAAAGGTAGGCCAAAAAATAATTTCAAAAAATTACCGGTCTCGTTTTCTGAACTAGTGTCTTTGTAAATTGCCGAGAGACCTAGATTCTGAATTTTCCGCCACCAACTTTGGGCTAGATGAAATCTGCACCCTCGTATTTGTGATTTTGGCCATACGCTCACTACTGCCATATGAATCGTAATCTCAAAATCTATAAATACTTGAACAGATGCGAGTGTCATACCGTGCAAACTACAGTGATCAACCAAATATTTGAACGCTAGCTCGTAAGTGATCTTTTTTTTGTCGGGAAGCAAGAAAAATACAAGTGGAATATATACGTCATCTTTAAATCCATGAATGGTAAAAAGTTGAGTAAAGTATTTAGGGCAGACATTAAAAGTCCCATCCATATAAATGTCTGTGAGTCACATAAAACGTTCAAATTACGTTCAGTAGAAAAACCTATAATAGAACTCACGCTATTATTAACAAATATAAACTGTTCATTGTCATTAGTTGTGTAGTTCATAGATTCTAAAACTGCGTGAGTTTCCATGGCGCTTTTTGGCAGTGAAGGATGAATAATAGAACGAGCTCGATGTATATTATGCCGTATTAGAGATAAATCATTATTCGTTAAAGAACTTATATCTCCGTGTTTCAACTCTCTGCGAATTAATTTTGAAGGCTTCGCAAAAACATCTTCAACAGCTTTTCTTTTTAAGGAATTGCTCAGCGCTTGCCGCTTACTAATATTTTCGTCAATTTTGTCATGCTTATGATCTGTGTTGCTTTCTATAATCTTACTATTATTGATTTTTAAATAACACTTACAGTTACTCTTGCTACATGTCCAGCGTTGGATATCGTTTGCCAGCATTTTATGGAAACAAAATGCATATCCATCTATTGGTATTAATGGTTTAGACTTTTCACTCAATATAAATTCCATATTTATTCAAAAATGTACACTTCGAAAAATACACAACAGTTTTAACACAACGACACAATTTACGTTGAACTAATAATGGTTGTAACAATACTGGAACATTCCAAATATTCTAGATTATGTTCAACTATAAAAACTGCTATCTAACTATCTAAAATCAATTATTATGATAAATAACATATACGTTATATATATACGTGGGTTATAATAATGACGATAATCTTTGATAAAGCGTTCGACCAACAAGCATTCGCGTGCGACGTGTAATGTTTTTTTTTTTTTGTAAATTCGCGCTTGGTCTCGGTGGACATAAGAGCGAGTTGAGTGTGACGGTTGAACTCTTTACGGTCGTAAACTCTTTACTCGTGCAATCTATTGATAATTGATATACAATAATAGGGAATCAACTCGTACGTACCCTCTAATGACCCGGGAATCAACTCAACGGTGTCGGTGCAGGTAAACAGGTACCCGGGAATCAACTCGTACGCAGCCGCCACCGCGCTAGCAGGGGGTCGTCTCGGAGGGCACGGGAGGAACCGGAGCCCAGGGGAATCCGGGTGCTGAGGACCCCCGTCGCCCGAAAAAGGGCGGAGACGAGCTGGCGGAATAGATCGGCGTGACGAGGGCACGACCGAGGACGGCCCTGGACTTAACAACCTGTGGACCGATAAAAACGACTCCCCGAGAGGGAGTCGGGCCATAAAAGTATTAGACCGGGGCCTGGACTTGAGTGACTGGGCCGGGGGACCGCCGCTCGCAGCCTAGAAGGCGCTCACGGAAAAAATACCGGGGGACCACCTTCAGGGGTCTCCCCGGGCGACCCTGCCTGTTAGGGGGGAGGGGTCGGGGAACCACCTATGAGATTAAAATCTTGGAGGGGGGATAGTCGGCGATTCTGTTTGGGCCGACGCGGTGGCCTGCCCTTGGCTGGGTGGTCGGGCGCAGAGCATGGTCTTAGGGCCATGCCCGGTGCTAGAGGGTCGGACTCCGCCCCGAATAAATGGACCGCCCCCTCGGTTTACAAGGGAAGTCCGGTGACTTGATCGACGCCGGACCTAGCAGACCCGCAAAAAACTTATGGACGGACAGATTAACATGGACACCCCCATAGACGGGGGATCGGATCCGGGGGCCCCGCCACCTGCGTCGTTCGTAAGAACGCGGTTGGAGCTGTGCGGCCCGATACCTGATGTGAGCTCGTCTAGCGACGCGGCCGTTGCGGTGAAAACCTAACCTAACCTAACCGAAACAGGGCCCGGCGCCACAAACAAAGAGCTCGACAGAGAAGGCGAAAAGCCCGTATCCGCGTGTTCAAAGCTAGGGACAGTGAGTCCAGCGACTGCGCACAAGAATCGACCTTAGGCGAATTGGTAATCGACGATAATATGCGTAACCCGGAAGGTCTCTTCGTACACACGCCCGTCCACCACGAGCCGGAGCTAGTGCAGGGAGCAGACGGTCCTCCCGAAAGTGCCACCAGGCTGGATACGATCCCCGCCCAGGCGGTGGTCTACAGGACCGAAGAAAAAATGATAAATTTCATTCAAATTAACGCGGGCCGCGGAATGGCGGCCACGCACTAGATACACAAACTTCTGGTAGAATTAGCCATAGACGTTGTGCTAATCCAAGAGCCAGCGACCGATGGTACGGGAATCTACCAGCTACACAGGCATCCCCTTAGGGTAATCGCGGCGGGTCGATGGCCGAAGGCTGCCGTTGTTGTCGCGAACCCGGCCATAGGAGTCCTCGCTCTTAGACATCTCTGTACACCCCACTTGGCCGCGGCCACGCTTACGGTGGGACAAGTCAGCTTGACGGTAGTATCTTCATACTTCCAGTTCTCTGACCTCACCCAGACACACGCCGACGTGCTCGGGTCCGCCCTGGACCAGATCCGTGGCGCCGTGCTTGTCTGTGCGGATGTTAACGGGGGGTAACTCTTTACTCGTGCAATCTATTGATAATTGATATACAATAATAGGGAATCAACTCGTACGTACCCTCTAATGATCCGGGAATCAACTCAACGGTGTCGGTGCAGGTAAACAGGTACCCGGGAATCAACTCGTACGCCGCCCGATTAAATGCCATCGTTGCGAAAGATTCGGTCATTATGCTAATGAGTGTAGGACTAGCGAGCGTAAATTACCTACTTTTAGGAATCCGAATAGTGGACAAAGTCCAAAAACCGATTTTAAACGCGAATATTCTAGTAAGTTCTGCAAATACTGCAAAAAGACGAATCACAATATTAGTGAGTGCCATTTATTAAAACGTAAAGAACAAAATAAACCCGTAGGAAAAAATGAACAGGAAAATCATGATAGGACTATCAGTGAAATACAATCGGGAAGTAGTGTTCGTATAATAACACCAATAAAACAGGAGCATATTACGTGTTATTCGGATAAATTTATTAAAAACGAAATTAAATTTCTAATTGACAGCGGTTCTGAAATGAATCTTATAAAAATCTCAAGTTTAAAAGGACACAAAATGGTAAACGAAAAAGATAAAAAACAAATTAAGGGCATTAATGCAAATCCAGTGGAAACAGTAGGATTGGTAATAATTCCAATTTACATCGACAAACAACTTTTTACGGTTAAATTCGATATAGTACACGATAATTTTCCAATACCTGAAGCAGGCATAATAGGCATCACGTTCTTGAAATTAAATAAAGTCGTTTTAGATTGGGATAAAAAAATATTAATTATACCAGAAAAAAAAGAAATAGGTAATAATACATTAATTATTCCACTACGAAGTAACTGCGTGTTACAAATTAGAGCGGACGAACAAATCGAACACGAATTAATTACGATAGAAAAATACGAAATTAACGAAGACGTAATCATAGCTAATAGTATCAGCCCGGTCAAAGGTGATAAAATAATAACGCGGCGGCCTACGTGAGCGAATTCGACGCGAACGCGGTGCGGCGCAATTCGCGCGAAAATTCAAGCGATCCGGCGCGACGCGATGCGGCAACATTGTCCTACGTGCACCGCCGATCTTCCGCGGCGACTCGCGGTCGATCAGTCGGTCCATGAAAGTCGGTACTTGCGTACGAACACAAACACAGTTTTGTCTTTGTAAACCAACATACCAACAACCCAATTTACATAATTATTATCATTATCACTACCCAATATCAATAGTACATTGATCATGGACGTACGAAAAGGGTTTTTAATGAATAATTCGTACCTTAAGTACAAACTCATGAAGAAACTCCACCTACGACAAAGAAATGAAACCAACATTATTTATCTAGAAAGACATATTCATGGAGAATTTCACCACTTATATGAAGAACTGAGAAGTCAATCATTGCTTTTTAAGGAGTATGCTCGAATGTTACCCACAACTTTTGATTACATCGTGGACGCTATAAAACCTGTTCTGCAATTAAAACCTACTAATTTCCAGCAACCTATTTCAGTCGAAGAACGATTGATGGTGACTTTAAGGTAAAAGACAATATTTGTTATGTATTTATAATATGCAGTAAAACCTCGATAACTCGAATCGATCTGGGGCAAAAAAAAATCGAGTCATAGAAAGTAGTCTATGTACAAATATTGAAGTGTCGGGGCCCAAATATTCCTTTGAATTACTAAAAATTTGACTTATACATGTTCGAGTTATCGTGGTTCCACTTTATTTAACTATGAGATAAATTTGTAATGTTATGCAAATCTAAAATATATTTATTATTAATGTTAATAATGTAGAAATGTTAAAAAATAAGTTTTTACTGCATATTGTGATCGCCAAATGTAACATAAATTTAAGTATAGAATAAACAAAAAAAAAATTACTAAATCATAATATTTATTTCAACTTAAGATTTTATAATAACTTCTTGAAGTTAAAGTTTATAAGGTTTCATAATCTTTAGGGAAAAATGAATTTTGTGAATCAAATTGTGGTACTTGTTGTTTATTTAAACTTGACAACTCCTTAAGAAGTAGCTCCTGCATCTGTGTTCTAAAACGTAACTTATTTAATGATGGCAACTGTTTCATGTATGGTAACATCGATTTGAACCAAAGTAAGTCATCGTCATTGTTATCCTGTTGATCCTGTCGCAAAACTTGTATCTTCTCTCTCTCTAATTGAATAAATACTTCTAATCCATCATCTTTATGTTTTCGTTTTTGTTTTGTCGTAGCTGTTGTTGAGGATGAGGCTGAAGAGATGCTATAATTATGTCTTGCTTCAGTTTCATTTTCTGTTGTCATGACCGACTCGGACTGTTCAAGTTCAAATCCCTGAAGTTCAGGGTCATCGAGAGTAGTGCTTTCAAAATTATTTTGTGTCATGTTTGTGTCAAATTTGTCTCCCTGACTAGCGTATGTAGACTCCGACGAATCCATTAGATAGCTTTCTGCTGATTCCTCTGGTTCAATAATACTTCCGTCTTGTTTTCGGAGTTTTAGAATAACTTTTAAAAATGACAAGGACTCAAAATATGGCCAAGTTCCTGTATACTCCGGTTCATTGTCAGCGTTAGCTCCCGAACGAGGCTTGGGAATTTTTTTTAATTCTTTCGCATAAGTATCCCTTAAATTTTTCCATTTTTTTTTGGCCCCATCAGCTGAAATAAAAAAGTATTGAAACTCTAGGTTACAACAAAAGTTGAAATGGTTGAATGTATTTTTTAATCAGGGCTTCAAAGTTATTTATTGCGAAATATTTATTTTTATAACTAAGATTTGCAAATTCAATACAAGATATAAAATAATGATTTAAAATTGAACTAGTATATTAAATCAAAAAAAAAAGAAGGTAAGTGGATGTCGCTCTGCTGTACAGTAGATTACGAGTGGGTCACTGTAATGGAAAATATTAAATTTGAAATCAATTATATAAGATCATTATCGAAGAGGGACAAATGGACGTAGCCGTTTGGACGTAAATAAAAATAAAAATTAAATTAAATAAATAATATTATTATTATAATAGATCATCATCAAAATATATAAAAAAAAAAATTGAAAATAAATAGTTCTGGTTTGTGCTTATAAATTATTAACCTTCCAGCGGACGCGCTGTTGTAAATAATACAACAGTTTTATATTTATTTGTTTATTCAACTTTTATTATTTTTTTATCTTATCGGCGGTCATGGGTATTCCTTAATGTTATTATCTACGTTTAGACTATTTTTAAAGTGTTTCAGTTCACTTTATTGCAGACATCGACGAAATACTTATAGTGTTGTCACAAAATACAACACGCGTCATTTCGTGTACCTACGCCAAACAAAACGCGTCATTCGTTGTACCTGACTTATTATTTTGTAATTTTATTTTTGTGTGGTAATAAGAACAAAATATGTAAGTATTGTTTTATATCAATATATAATATACATTTTAATTTTTATAATAATATGTTTTATTATTTGTATACGTTTTGGTACGTACTAATAATCGATATTATTTATACAATGTCTTAGGTCGGATCATATGACAGTTGAGCAAATTCAAAGTTTACTGCAAGACATTTCAACTGAAATAGACTGTGTTGATGACCAAGAGAGTGATAGTGATCTAAACATCGAAGATGTGAGGTAGTGACCACGAAAGCAATTCTGAACAAGATTTTCGAACGAAGTCAGATCTAGGAATAGTTTGAGGACAGTACTTCTACATAGAAAGATAAAATCTAAATGAGCAAAAAAGTTTACAACTTCAAAATTAGGCAGCTTAATATAATAAACGTGGTTCCCGGTCAAAGGTGTTAGAAATATCGTTAGTGAGATAGATGCATTCTAAAAATAATTGATCGCTTGACGCGGTGACGAAATCGTAACGTGCACTTATATATTAGTAAGGAGACCGAGTTCAATACTCTAGACCCGAGACTGCTTAGATACTTCAAGGTGTGAAATACTGGGTTATTTGGACTTTTATTTTTGATTGGTATAAAGAAAGCTCATCATGCTAATGTAAAAGAATTATGGTCGGCGGATGGTTCTGGTATAGAAATACTAGGCACTTGAGCTACAAAGATTTTGTTTTGATTGTCGCTTTCTACGGATTTGACATCGCGAAACTAAGGCTAAAGACGGGCGATTGATAACTGGCTTCATTCGTACTACATGCTTTGACCTTTTCTTGAAAAATATCAATCAGAATTATAATTGGGAATACTTCAGTTGACGAATGTTACACCATTTCGTGGTCGGTGTCAATGATACAGTATATCCGCAAGTAACCGGCTAAATATGGCATCAAAATATTTTGTCATAGATGCAAAAGCGATTACAGGTAAAATACGTTTGACGGCGTCGTGAAATAACCACCTGGTCCGTATGGGGTTTCTACTCACCACTTGATATCGTGAAACGATTAGTAACACCTCGAAACTTAAACGAAATCTACTGCTGACAACTGGTATACCAGTATTCCACTCAGATTCCAACACAAATTATAACTGGAACTTTTAAAACAAGCGAGAAATACTCTACAGAGTTTTTACTAGATAAAATAAAGAAGTTAGTTGAGCGTGTTCGTACTCAAAAATAAACAGTAGTTTCATAGCCGTACCTCGAAAAACAAGGCAGTATTTTGCTTTCAACTATACCGCTGATTCAAAATTGATGAAACTCGTAAACCAGAAATAGTATGGATTATAATTGTACCAAAGGTGAGTTGATACAGTAGATAAATGTATTGCGGCATATTCGGTCTCTAAATTACAAAAAGTTGGCCACTTGTAATTTTTATTCTTTGATGGTGTGCTGGAATAAATGCTCAGGTATATTTTCATATACTCTAAACATATATGCTCCTAAATGAAGATTATTTTTGAAAACATTGGCATTTTGATCTAATGAAGGTTTAGGCACACTTCTCGAGCTCAAATCCTGATTTACCATCAGACATATCATCTTTTGAAAATAAAATATGCTGTTCCAAGTACATCAGATGCATCTACAACCCCATAAAT